ACACTGTCACTAAGACAAAAAGGCAACCTACTGACTGGGAGAAGATCTTCACCAACCCCGTAACAGACAAAGGTCTGATCTCCAAAATATATAGAGAACTCAAGAAACTAGACTCTAAAATGCTAATTAACCCAATTAAAAAATGGGGCACTGAACTGAACAGAGAATTCTCAAAAGAAGAAGTTCAAATGGCCAAAAGACACCTAAGGTCATGCTCAACCTCATTAGCAATCAGGGAAATGCAAATCAAAACAACTTTGAGATATCATCTCACACCTGTCAGAATGGCTAAAATCAAAAGCACCGATGATAGCCTTTGCTGGAGAGGCTGTGGAGGAAGGGGTACCCTCATCCATTGCTGGTGGGAATGCAATCTTGTGCAACCACTTTGGAAATCAGTGTTTCGGTTTCTCAGGAAATTCGGGATCAACCTACCCCTGGACCCAGCAATACCACTCTTGGGAATATACCCAAGAGATGCCCTATCATATGACAAAAGCATTTGTTCAACTATGTTCATAGCAGCATTATTTGTAATAGCCAGAACCTGGAAACAACCTAGATGCCCTTCAATGGAATAATGGATGAAGAAAGTGTGGAATATATACATAATAGAGTACTACTCAGTGGTAAAAAAAACAATGACATCATGAATTTTGCATGCAAATGGATGAAAATAGAAAACATTATCCTGAGTGAGGTAAGCCAGACCCAAAAAGAGGAACATGGGATGTACCCACTCATAATTGGTTTCTAGCCATAAATAAAGGACATTGAGTATATAATTTGTGATCCTAGAGGAGCTAAATAAGAAGGTAAACACAAAGAAAAACATATAGTCATCTGCCTGGATATGGGAAGTAGACAAGATTGCCGGGCAAAAACTGGGACCTTGGGGGTGAGGTGGCATGGGGCTAAGGGGAAATGGGGTGAGAATCGTGAGAAGGGGAGGACGGGGGGAGCTTGGGGGAATGGGATGATTGGGATAAAGGAAGGGTGGATGTGGGATCAGAGAAATAATATCCTAATTAAGGGAGCCATCCTTATTAACCTAATTAAGGTTAGCAAGAGACTTGAACCTAGAGTGGCTCACAGGTGTCCAGGGAGATGTCCCCAGATAGTACCTTGGGCAGCTGAGGAGAGGGAACTTGAAATGACCCTACCCTATAGCCATATTGATGAATATCTTGCATATCACCTTAGAACCTTCATCTGATGATGCATCGAGATAGAGACTGAGACCCAAACTGGAGCACTGGACTGAGCTCCCAAGGTCCCAATGAGGAGCAAAAGGAGGGAGAACATGAGCAAGAAAGTCAGGACCAAGAGGGGTCCACCTACCCACTGTGACAGTGGGGCTGATCTATTGGGAGCTCACCAAGGCCAGCTGGACTGGGACTGAATAAGCATGGGATGAGACCAAACTCTCTGAACATGGCAGACAGTTAAGGCTGATGAGAAGCCAAGGACAATGGCACTAGGTTTCGATCCTAATCCATGAATTGGCTTTGTGGGAGCCTAGTCTGTTTGGATGCTCACCTTCCTGGACCTGGATTTCTAGAAGTGGGAGAACCTTGGACTTCCTGCAGGGCAGGGAATCTGGACTGCTCTTCAGTTTCGAGAGGGAGGGGGAATGGAGTGGAGGAGGGGGAGATGAGTGGGGAGAGGGGGAGGGAGTTGGGGGAGGGGGCGATGTGTGACCTCTTCTTTTGCCTTGTCAAGATCATTTTCTAATCAATAATATTCAAGGCCATGGCCAAGAACAAGAGTTTCACCTAGTTCATTCTAAATTGAGTCCAAATGTAGCAGGGTACATTGGATACTGATGGAATGATTCTAATGTGCCTTTAAGCTTGGCAACATTGAACTAAGGATATTCAGGCTTCCTTATTTCATAAGAAAGTGAAAAGGGCTCTGCCACCCTGAATTATTACTCTGTCTTCTTATTCCTAATATATAACATTCCATCTGCCATATTTTGAGAATACCCATAGAGGACAAGGAATTACTAACTATAATATAGAGCTACGATAATGAAAACAGCTTGGTAGTGGCATAAAGGCAGACAGATAGACAAATTGAATTAAATTGAAGACCCTTATATCAATCCACACACCTATGAACAACTTATTTTTGACAAAGAAGCTAAAAACCATGAAATAAAAAAAGAGAGCATCTTCAACAAATGGTTTTGCATTACTGGATATTGGCATGTAGAAGAATGCAAATAGATCCATATCTATTGCTATGTACAAAACTCAAGTTCAAACAGACCAAAGACCTCAACATAAAACAAACAACACTGAATCTTATAGAAGAAAAAGCAGGAAATAACCTAGAATGCATTGGCACAGGAGAACACTTCCTAAATATAACACCAGTAGCATAGACACAGTAGCTTACAGAATGGGGGAAAAGCCAAAATCTACCAACCACACATCTGACAGAGAACTCATCTCCAAATTATATAAAGAATTCAAAAAAATAAACATCAAAAGACCCAATAATCCCATAAAAATGGGGTACAGAACTAGACAGATAACTCTCAATAGAGTAATCTTAAATAGTGAAAAGACACTTAAGGAAATGCTTAACATCCTCAGTCCTCAGGGAAATGCAAATCAAAACAACTTACATATTACCATCTTACACCTGTCAGAATTGCCAAGATCAAAAACTGATAGCAGCTTTTGCTGGAGAGAATGTGGGGAAGGGGAACACTCCTTCATTGCTGGTAGGAGTGCAAACTGGCACAGCTGGTTTGGAAATCAATATGGCAGTTTTTCAGAAAATTACCAATCAATCTACCTCAAGACCCAGCAAACTACTTTTGAGCATATACCCAAAGGATGAACACTCACACAACAATGATATTTGCTCAATTATGTGCATAGCAGCATTATTGTTAAGAGCCAGAATCTGGAAAGAATCTAGATGCCCTTCAGTCAAAGAATAGATAAGGACAGTATAATACATTTAAACAGTGGGGTACTACTCAGCTGTAAAAAACAAAGACATCTTGAAATTTTCAGGTAAATAGACAGAACTAGAAAAAGTCATCTTGTGTGAGGTAACCCAAACTCAGAAATACAATTATAATATGTACCCACTCATAAGTAGATATTAGACATAAAGCAAAGGACAACCAGCCTACAAGCCACAACCCCAGAGAACCCATACAACAATGAGAACCCTAAGAGTGTAACATAGAGGGCCAGGTTGTTGGGGTTTCTGTCCTGCCCAATACTCCACAGCCGGCAAGCCACAAAGAAAATCACACAGAGATCTCCATAAGTTATAAAACTGATTGGCCCATTAGCTCAGGCTACTTATTAGATCTGGTAGCTTATATTAACCCATTATTCTGATCTCTGTTAGCCATGTGGCTTAGTACCTTTCACAGTGGGGCAGATCACATGTTGCTTCTTCAAAGTCTAGGCAGGAATGGGGTGAATGGGCTTCCTCCTTCCTAGCATTCTCCTGTGCTCATCGCCCGGCCTCTACTTCCTGTCTGGTTGACCCACCTCTACTTTCTGCCTGGCCAATCAGCATTTATTTAAAACATGACAGGCAGGTTAGTAGAGGGACCCACAAGTAGCATGGTCAGAAATGTCCTTGGCTTTCTAGTCAGAAATGCCTGCTGGGAGATCCCAGCATGAGCATCAAGTCAGGAGACTTTGTATAAGGGTAGGGATTAGAATGCCAGACCAGACACCAAGTCTTTCTACTGAAAAGCTTTAGAACTAGATCTCTAGGTTTTCACAGCCAAAATAATTTTCATCTTCTTTGGGTCATGACTTAAATAATTTTAGGGGTGATTGAGGGGTGTGTGTTACAGTAGCATTAAAGTTTCTCTTTTAAACTACAAGAGTAACTGAGGCTTTTTTAGAGACTCTTTTTAAGTTCCTTTCATAAGGCTAAGAACTCCGAGTGGTGACCCTGATTTCACTGGTACAGAATCACCACAAAATAAATGACCACCATGACCAGAAGCATCTTGGGAAGAGGGGTTTATTTTAGCTTACAGCTCTCGGGTCTCACTCAATCACTGAGGGAAAGCCAGGGCAGGAATCCCAGGGCAGGAACTGATGCAAAGACATGGAGAAGTACGGCTTACTGGCTCGCTCTCTCATGGCTTGCTCTGATTGCTTTCATTTACCATCCAGAATCATCTGCCTGTGGTGGCATTGCCCACAGAGAGCTGCGTCTCCCACATCCATCATTAATCAAGACAATACTTCCCAGACTAACCGATAGCCACCTGACAGAAGCATTTTCTTAACCTCTCCTCTGATAACGCTACCTAGTTATAAAAATGACGATAAAACAAAACAAAACAAAACAAAACAGCAACAACAACAAACAGCTCAGGACAACATGACAGACCCATCAAATTTCTCGGTGCTTCCCATAATAGAAGAGCAAACTAGATTCCTACGAAAACTTGCTTTTTTTTTTTTCATAGCAGTTTCATCAGTAGACCAATGCTGGAGACAACCCAACTGTTTTACAATGTGTTTCTGAGTTTTTACCATAAACGCAAAATTTCTTGCTTTGTACTATATTATATATAATTGAGACACAACAGAGAAAACTGAGTGTATGCGTAAAACCCTTTTGTATGACTGCAACCTCTCTTCTGTAACTATTATTTCAAGGCAGAAAATACTTAACCCTGCTTTGCCATGGGTAGTTATGTCCCATCCATGATTGCACAAAAGGAGAACCAAGAGACTTGAAAACCTCAACAGCAGGACGCTGTTTGGCTCTTGACAAGGAAAGATGCTTGATGCTAGGTGCTTTGTGCAGGAGACAGCCCACTAGGAGATGGGGAGTATGCGGAGAGGCGGGGTTCAACTGCACTAGGGTCCAGAAAACTGGGAGGGGGGGCAAGAGGCACTTAGCCTCAAGTGCCTCTGTGAGGTTTCTGAGAACCTCAGCGCCTGGCTAGGAACTTTCTTAGAACTGCGAACAGTTTGACCGGCAGCGCTGACTTTACCTTTGTCACCACCAGCTTCTCTCGCGGAGCTTGCACCGCGGCGCCACTTCTCTCCCACCTACCCGGCCTCGGGCAGCCCCACGGGCGATCGTCCTGGCTTTGGAGCCCATCATGCCGTGGAACCTGACCGCGGAGCAGCTCTCGGCGTTGCTGCGGCTGCACAACCTGACGCGCTCGCAGTTTATCGCGCGCTATCGGCTACGGCCACTGGTGCTCACCCCGCAGCTGCCCGCCCGGGTCAGGCTGGCCCTCCTGCTTGCCGGCCTGATCATCTTCACCCTGGCACTCTTCGGAAACGCCCTGGTGGTCTATGTGGTGACCCGCAGCAAGGCCATGCGCACCGTCACCAACATCTTTATCTGCTCCCTGGCGCTCAGCGACCTGCTCATCGTCTTCTTCTGCATGCCGGTCACCATGCTCCAGAACGTCTCCGACACCTGGCTGGGGGGTAAGGAGGTCCCTGCCCGCCCCCATTCTGATGGCCTTTTGTTTCTTCCTCAAGAGAATCCCTGAATTCCCGGAACTTCCCTGCAGGGCTTACTTGCTCAGGAGGCATTTGGTTTTTTTGTTTTATTTTCTTTGTGGCTTGTGGCATCTTCTTGTCCCAAAGATATTTAAGTACAGTCCAGGACAGGGGTGATTCTTCACTCATTTCATTCAGCTCCTCCCCATAATTACAAGGTTACACACGCACACTGTTTAAAATAAACCACTAAAACTTTAGAATAATCTCTCAAATAATAATATTAATAAAATAACCCCAAAGGTATTTTCCCCCTCTCTTTTCCCCCCAACTTCCAGGCTTCCTTTCCAGTTGCTTATGAGATTTCCAAACAGGTTCTTGCATGTGTTTGCTAATACAGACTTAAAAACCTTTCACAACAGCTATACACTGCAAAGAAAATTCTTGGATTAGTACTTTCTGGTGCTTGTATTCTTGGATTTATAAAGGGAGAATTAACAGTAAACAAGTTCCCTCAACTTCTAAAGGACTTGCCCTTCATTAGAATAAGAGGTAGAAAAGGTCCAGAAATCCCCAAGACAGGAGTCAGTGAGAGAAGAGCAGTGGGTGGGAGGGAAAGACAAGATGACACTGGGTTCCGGGCCTCAGAAGACCTTCAGCAATCTTTTCCCCACTGTTTCCAGGGGGGAGAACTAAGACAGGAAGTTCTAATTCTACCTTGCTTGCTTGCTTGCTTACATGAGTGACTGTATCCTGTGGGTGCGTTAAAATTCTTAGTAAGTGGTTGTAAATGCATGAGAAATGGATCCTTGCCTTCTCATTCTGCCATTTCCTCCCCAAGACTAGTTTTTTTTTTAAACACAGGGAGGGTGTTTTTATCTCACCTTATCCGCTTGGAGATGGATCACCAGCAAATACTTTCAGCAGTGCTGTTTTTCATTTGCGTTGCATTTATTGTTGGTGATAAGAATGCTAAATGCTGGCTGTCGTTTTACCTTAGAAGTGTTTTCTAAAAAGCATCAAAAAATGAGTACATAGAATTGACTTGAAAGTATTCCAGGGTATGGAAACAACCTAAATGCCCCTCAAGCAAAGAATGGATAAGAAAATTGTGGTACATTTACACAATGGAGTACTACACAGCAGGAAAAAAACCAACAACTTGAATTTTGCAGGAAAATGGATGGAGCTAGAAAACATCATATTGAGTGAGGTAACCCAGACCCAGAAAGACAAATATCATATGTACTCACTCATGAGTGGCTTTTAGACACAAAACAAAGAAAACCAGCCTACAATTCATAATCCCAGTGAACCTAGACAACAATGAGTACCCTAAGAGAGACATACATGGATCTAATCTACATGGGAAGTAAAAAAAAAGACAAGATCTCCTGAGTAAATTGGGACTTTTGGGACCATGGGAGAGGATAGAAGGGGAGGGGAGAGGAAGGGAGAAGAGTGGAGAATATATAGTTCAATAAAAATAATAAAAAGAGATCTGAAAAAAGAAAGTATTCCAGGGTATAGATCTTTGTAAATTGATTACAGATTAGAAACTTTTTGTGTTCTTTGTTAAAACAATTGCATTTGGGCATCTTAGAGTTCATTCCATCACTACAGCTCATTCCATCAAATTAAGGGAGAAATTTGGATTATCAACTAGAATGTGCTTTATGAGGATAAGTTATAATATTACTACTTTTCCTGCTCATACAAGTATTTAGGAAAATATTTGTTCTACTGGGTAGTTATATTGTCATTGTGAGGACAAGCAGCATGGATCATTGCTAAATCTGGAAGGACCAGACTTTGCCTCTAAATGGGCTAACTGAGCAGGTCTGGGTCTCAGCTTTTAAATAATATGTTAAAGTTTGGAGAAGTTAGTAAGTAGAGTGAGACAGATCTTTTACTCCAAGTCCTGTTGAGAGATGATGCTAAGGGAGGTCACAGATCTCCTCTAAGAGGTCATAGGTAGGCATAGCTGAGGGTTCTCTTAAGCGTTCCACTTCTGTTTCTTCCTACTCTGTGGAGGATATATCACTTTAGCTTCTAAATACTAACCGAAGGTCATACATAGTTCTTAGATTGTATAGGGATGGTGTAAGAATAAAGTGTGTTAGCAAAAGTGGTTTGGAAAGGATGATTGTCCCAGGCATGGTGTCACATACCTCTAATCCCAGGACTGAGGGAGGTAGAGAGGCAGAAGACTTCATGTTTCTGGCAAGTCTGATGACATGGTGAAACTCTGTCTCAAAAAGCAGAAACAAAACCATTAAGTGGCCATGTCATGGAAGTAAAAGTTATTAAGAAGTGTTTAATTAGAAGTTCCTATCCTTATTTATCTAGGACAAGATTTGTGGAATAAATAATATTCTTCATATTGAGTGACCAAAAACAAAACAGGGAGCAGAAGAAATAGCCTACAGAGGGACTGATCAAGGATATGGAAGGAAGTAATTTGCACATTATAGGTTAGCATAGTATTGAAAAATTCCTTTGATATATTAGCAAAAGACAATTAAATATAGTAAGAGTCAAAACTTAATTTTAATTTATTCATTTGATAAAATGGTTGAGAATCTGCTATATAGCAAACTATTTTTCCTTATGAACATGAAAGCTTATCTAGACCATTGTGGAGCCTCAGAGAATAAAATATACCAAAAGTGAGCAAAGACAGTCTTTACTATCCAGAAGAAGATCCAGTCTGCACTTGGACCAGGGGAGAGATGAGACGGCTTTCCTTGGCTATGTTGGTTGAGCCGGGTCTTGAAGAATGATTTGGATTGTTTTCCATAGAGAAGGATGGGCTGTGCTGGAGGAACATGGTCAGTCCACAGTTTGAGGAGAAAAAGGTCTGAAGTTTTAAGAACATTGTGTAAGGCACTTCAGGCATACACAGCTGATATGTGGGGAACTGTAGAAAATAAGGAAAGAAGGTTACCATAACCGGGAGGAAAATGAGTTATGTAAAAGCCTAGGATATAAATACTTCTCAATGCCACTGGGGATAAGGTGATACAGACAGTCGCGCGGGGGGTGGTGGCTGTCTCCTGGAAGGGCAAAATAGCCTCCTCCAGAGCTGTGGACAGGCTATCCCACTTTCTAGTGTAATCGCTGTTTCCATTTCTCTCTCCCTCCCCTTCCTCAACATGAACATAGATTTTCATGATACTGACATCTAATTCGAATTTAAGTCAAATGCATTTTTGTAAAGTAAAGCACCTGAACAACTTTGGTCATACATAACCCATACGCTTTAAGTTATGAGTTTTCTAAGACTTTCTTCTAAACTCTTGGGACAGTAGTCTCTGAATGACTGCCTGTCCTCGTTTAGTTCTCTCCTGTCCTAGCTTGTTGTCCATTGCTGGGATAAAACAGCAAAGATAAAAGCAACTTGGAAAAGAAAGGGTTTATTTATCTTACCCGTCTTTCACAATTCACCATAAAGGGAAGTCAGGATAAGAACTCGAGGCAAGAGTTTGGAGGTAGCAACTGGATGAAGCAGAAGAAATAGAGGAATGCTGTTTGTTTACTAGTAGGCTTGTTCTCTACTTGCTTATAGGCCTAAGAACTCTTCCCAGGGGTGGCACTGCCCCAATGGGTGATCCCTCATACCAGTCTAATCAAGAAGATGCCTCACAGACCTGCCTGCAGACAATCTGATGGAAGCATTCCCTTAATCAAGGTTTCTTCCTACCAGATAGCTTTCACTTGTGTCAAGCTGACAGAGAACTAAGGAGTACATCTCCATTCCTAGAAACCACAGCACTTACTAAGTGTTCTACCAAGATCCTCGGGTGAGGCACGTGCCCTTGGAACTTAGTAAGCAACCCTGTCAGCAGTTGTTCTCAGACCTGCTTGCATAGAAAGTCTCTGAAGTGCTCCTAGAAACTGCCTCTGACAGATCAAGTCCAGAGAGTAACTCAATTCAGATGCAGCTTGCTCTGACCTCTGGAGCATGTGGTACCCAACAGCTCTACTCAGGGATTGTGTCAGAATGTCTTGTTGTGGGACTAAAATTATCTCTATTGGGAATATTTACACCATAGAAATCAACTGCTACATATTAGGCCCACAAAGCAAAGAGTAAAGGAAATGAAAACACTAGGCTTGCCTCTTCTATCACATCACCGAGCAAAGACATTGTGTGTCTCTTGGTACCACTGTTGACAGCTGAGTCATTATATCTGTAAACATGTTTATTTGCCTGAATTTCATTCCTTAGGTGATGCACCTCACTTGCAGCAGTTACTTAAAGCAATTAAAAAAGAGAGAGGGAGAGATTCCAAAAATATCCTAAATGATGGTGACAAGCTCACAATCACCTGTAACTCTTGCTTCAGGGTATCCAAAATCCTCTTCTGGCCTCTGAGTACCCACACACATGTGGCACACACACACACGCATGTGCAAACACACACGCACACACACAATTGTAGTACAACTCTAATTGGTCTTAATAATAAAAACTTGGAATCAGATATTAGGGGGTGAAAGATGAAAGATCAGAATAACAGAGCAACCAGCCCCTAGTTCTTACCTCTACCAAATCCTCAGACTGAGCCGGGTAATCTGTCTCTCCAGTTCCTCAGACCAACTGCTGAGCTCCTGTCTCTTCACACCTTATATTCCTCTCTCCACCCTGTCATATCACTTGCCATCTCCACCTCGCTATTACTGGGATTAAAAGTGTGAGCCACCACTGTTTGACTCTGTTTCTACTTTAGACTGATTCAATCTCCTGTAGCTCAGGGTGGCAGTGAACTCACAGAGATCCATCTGCCTCTGCCTTCTGAGTGCTGGGATTAAAGGTGTGTGCCACCGCTGCCTGGCCTCTATGACTAACTAGTGGCTAGCTCTTCACTCTGATCTTCAGGCAAGCTTTATTTGTTAAATTACAAACAAAATATCACCACAAACAATTAAAAACAAAATATAAATTGAAGGGTTATTTGTATTTTTCACCTACACATCTCTTT